CACACACACATTACAACATTTGCTGCCCATCGCCACCCTCTACTGTCCTATCTGGGGTATTCAGTTTCTCTGGAAATCCACAAGCAGGCTGGCCACATCAACAAAGACCAGGTCCAGCACCAGGACACCTGCAGCAGCTCTGCTCCCTTCACAGCCACCATGAGGTAAGGAGCTCTCAGCTTCTCCTCAGGGGATCTGTAGATTTTGAGAAAATGTTGGCAGTACTATTGCAACAGGATAGGACGGTATCAGTAAAGTCAAGTATGTGAATGACTACTTGTGTATGTTTATGGATCTAATATCTGTATGGATATGAAGATAGTGTATCTTTCTGGACCTGTATATGCTTAGGGACCTGATGTTGGAGTGTGTGTGTGTCATGATCGTAGAGAGATACACTCACCTAAATACACTGGCAGGATTCTTTCTGGCAGACCTTTCAAGTAGCTGTGACCTTGATCTTTTCCTCATACTGTAACACCAAAGTGGGGAGGGAAACTGGGAAGAGTTGCTTTGCAGGGAGGAAGAAATTGACCTCAATCTCAGAGATTCTTTTCTACAAAATGTACTTTGTCTGATGTGTGGAGGGCTGGGCAGTCTGTTTATTAGACATCATATTCTGCTGGCTCCACATGCAAGATCCATAGTGCTGTGTCAGCCAGTCACGTGACCGCTCAGTTATCTTGGGGAAAATACTGTGGGGATGTGACAGCAGAAGCTCAGGCATTTCTCTGCAGGCTTGTGCTTTTTCTGCCTAGCTGGGCTCCTGTATGAGACTGAATACATTTTACATCAGCAGACAATTTTCCCCAGGCAACTCAAGCTGCCCCAAATCGCCTAAACCTGCTTGCCACCAGCCTTGGCAGGAGACACCTGCATGGAAGCAGGAGCATCCTGTTTGCCGAAAGGGCTTTGTACGGGAGTTTCTGTATGACCTCAGCTGAACGGTGATCATAAAAGCTCAGATTGTTAGTTTGTGTAAGGTCAGCTGGCAGTTTAGTGAATGTCCAGCACCATGTTTTCACTTTAAAGAGCTGCTCCATGAAGCAAAATCATCTTCTGCATTCTGAAAAACAGCCAGAAGGCAGCCCCACAACAGGCTAACTACAGCTCTACATCCAGCCCTACCTTATCAGCCACTTCACATACTCCTAGATGCTGGCTGTTCTAGCCTGAGAGCTTACACTCTCCTCTGTTAATTCCTATAAACACAAGGTCCTTGGTCGTGCCTGGCATTGCCCTCCTCTTTGATAGAGCCCAGCTGTGTCACCCTCCAATAAACCATTCTCTTACTCATATGCAGTCTTGTCTGGTGCTTTCTGTTGCTTTAACCTTACAATTTCTAGTTTAGGTCTTACATTTAGATTGTTAAGCCATTTTAAACAACTATCTCTATATGGAATAAATAACAAGCTTTCTTCTCGTGTCTGGTTATTCAGGATTCTCATACCAGCTGTTGATAAACATTTCCCCAAGTAGCCTTATCACATTTCTCAAAAACTATTTTACTGTAAGTAGGAACTGCATAGACAGTGCCACACATACAAATCTATATATTCAATCTTTAGCTCCTGTTGGGTATTTAGTGATGGTGTTTAAAGCAAAGTCAAGATGGAGTCGTAAGTACAGGGCCTTAATCTGATAAGGCTGCGATCCCTACAAAAAAAGACACACCAGTGTGTTTTCTCCTTATGTGCCAAACCAGGCCCTACTTCGGTGTTACGGTGTGATGAAAATATCAAGGTCACAGCTACTAAATCACAAGAAGGCAGCCATCCTCAAAGCAGAAGAGTCCTCCCAGGCACAACATTGTCTTGCACCTTGATCTTGGAGTTCTAGCCTCCAGAACTTTAGGAAAACACATCTGTTAAGCCAGCGAGTCTGTGGTCTGCTGTTATTACAGCCTGAGCTGATACAACGCTTGCTCAAGACATCATCCCAGGGCTCTCTCTTCCACTGCATCTGTCTGAATACCAACATGGGAAATGTTTGGGTTCCTGTAGCGTGTGTGTGTGTGTGTGTGTGTGTCTTTGTGTGTGTTTGTGTGTGTGCATGTTGAAATATGAAGTGGGAGTTGTCCATATGTAGTTTGGCCCAACACTCTACAGCTATTTGAGATGCTTTGAGAACCCAGGAATCAATTAGGATGAAATTCCTAATTCTGAAAACATTGTTATGGTTTTGACAGAGAATGTATTAAATCTGTACGTTGGTTTGGGTAGTACTGACATCTCCACAATATGAGGTCTTCTAATCCATGCCAGAGGGTGGCTTTCCATTTATTTGTGTCACCTTTACATTCTTTCGGCAAGGCTTTGTTGTTTAAGCACACACATCTTTGTCTCTATGGTTACGTTTGTTCCTACATATTTTGCTATTGTTATGGTATTATATCAGATTTGTGTTTTCTTAATTTTCTTTTAAATGTTCATACTTAGTGTATAGAAACACAATGATTTTTCTGCCTGCTGAGTTTGTATCCTGTATCTTTGCACGATTGTTTATCAGCTCTAACAGTTTGTGTGGAATTATCAATATTTTCTGTATTCTCAAATAATAGAGAATAAAGAGGTGGAAATTGACATCCTTGCCTGCATTCTAGCAGGATATTTCCTATTCTAGCACTTAGGATGCTAACTGTGCATCTCTTGCATGTGGTCTTTATTGTATTGGAGTAGTTTCTTCCTATGACTTGTCTTGAGTGCTTTTATCATAAAAGTATGCTATTGATCCAAATCCTTTTGCTGCATTCAGCGTCATGATCTCTCACCTTCATTTTTAAAATTGGGTATATTAACCTGATTGCTCTTTACATACTAAAAGGCCTTTTCCATTTGTAACACATTCTTGAATTCAATATTAAAGACATAAAACTAAAAACAATAGTTCCAAAAGGCCATGGATGTATGGTACTATAGGTCAAGAAGCTACACACTGAAGAAGTTACACATAGAAGTTTATCATAAAGGAATTGTTGCAGGGATGGGACAGTCTTGCATATTAATTGAGGTGGTGGTCCCAAGATTTGTAATTACATGATCAAGAGTCGCAGATCCGCACACACACAAGCAAACACACTGTTGTACTAATGACAACTTCTTATGCAGATACTCCATGATACTTGTATAAATCACTGGGAGAAGCTGAGTAAGGGAGACTCTGGCTCTCTGCCCTACCTTTGGCCTTTTCTGTGAATCTACAGTTATTTCAAATGAATAGTGAAAAACTAGTAAATAGTATCTCTGAGTTCCTCTGAATTTGTTCCATTACATAGAGACTAAAATGTTAAAATCTATAATGCTTCATAGGATTCTACGTTACCAACTGGTCTCTGTCCTAATTACATCAATAGCCAAATATGCCTCTACCATACAGCTGGTAATAAATCTTTAGTCATACAGGCTTATTAAACTTCCCAAACCAGGTATGGGAAGTTTCACTATTACCCTCTTTTACAAAAAGGGTCCTGGGGCAAAGATAAGGAGTTTGACAGAAGGCACTGGGAGCAGGAAATACAGACAACATAACAACTTGCACAGGACATATCTTAAAAAGACAAGTATCTACTCCTTCATAATTACATAAGGAAAGGGCATTTTAGGAACCCTAAGTTCCTAAATAGGGGTATGTGATGAGCTACAACAGGAAATGGACAATTGAAAATCTGGCCCAAGTAATTATCCAAGAGTTATGGCCAATGTCCTCCAAAGACTGGGTCAGTCTCTGCAAAAGCCAGCTAGACCAAAAGTCTTCTTGGGAGCTCATCCAGATTATCCACTGTCCTATTTGTCAGAGAATCCCAAACCCACAATTCTAACCAAGAGAACAAAAATCCTCACCAGGCTTCAGTCATGGTGAGTGCATTGACCTTTAATCAAACTACCAAATTAGATTACAAAATTAACAAACAAACAAAAACTACTGGGAAATGTCCAGAAACACTGCTGATGACTCTACTGGCGCTTAAGCCAGAAACCTCAAAAAAGCAGATGTGAATCATGAAGAAGAGTCAATCCCCCAAGACCCTGGTCTCTTTCTGTTCAGCAAATTCAAAGATCAAAGTTGAATCATCAATCAAGTTGACTGTACTCTCCATTAAGTTGTAATACATTAATTTCCATCCAATGGGAAAGGTTTTCACAAGTCCTTGCAAAGTAAGTGCTGCCATAACCATTAAACCAAATTATGAGAGAAGAAATAATTACACAAAAAAGACAAGTACTCTACAATATCATGATGCACTTCAATAGCAGAATGATGGGCATGTAACTGTTGTTGAAACACTACACTCTTGCAATAATATAGCAGAATACAGTGAGGGGGAAGGTTGGTGAGGAGGATGGAAGAGGAAATCCCTGAGCCTATGGAAAATAGAATTTAAAACATACAGGGACTATATATGAAATAGAAAACATAGCCAGAGGCACACAAATGACAAGACAGCCAGTTCATCTAAACCAACAGAGGATCTTGAGTACCTCTGCAAAAACTGTGAAAAAGGACAGATTGAACAACACCCCAGGCCAGCGGTTTGTACCTGTGTCTGTGGACACACAAAGTACATATGGACAGCTAAGAAGCCTTAGAATATCTCACATGTGGTGCAAGAAAGTAAAAAACTCAAAACAAGCAAGACAACACAAGTAAACATCCTCAGAACACTTGCCCCTCACCAGGCTCCCTAAGGCAACATCAAAGGACAGCCTCAGTCCCCATGAGCTGACACACACTGACAGCAAGAAGTGGAGCACCTCCCTGCACACAGCCCTGCAATCTCCCCACCCTCCTGCCCAGGAAACAGAAGAAACTGGAACACTGATTTAACCAGCTTTCACCTTCATCCCAATCCACTCCATTATAAATTGATGTACACATGGTCTGAGCCCCTCCCTTTGTGACAAAAATGAACCCTGAAAAGCATCATACAAAAAAACAAAATTCCCCAATCACTCCAAAAGAAACCTGAGTGGGAGACTTTCAAGACATTATCATTGGCTTATCTCTATTTTTCACCTCTGTATTTCCTCATCTAATAAATAACTTCTGCTCTTGTCTTCATAGTAAGTGTGCAGATGAACATCAGATCCGGGAAAAGCTGGGGCAACTGAGATGTCACTTCACGTGGCAGCTGTTAATTGAAGACGCTGAGGTGCCTAACTTAGAAGAGAGGATCTCAGAAGAGATTCAATTTCTAGAGACCAGCTACAATGTGGGAATTCACAATCTATTGGCCTATGTGAAACATCTACAAGGCAAGAATGAAGATGCCCTGGAGTGCCTGGAAGAAGGTGAGAATTTGTGCCAGAGAGACCAAGCTGAACAACCAGATGTGAGATGCCTGGTGACCTGGGGCAACTATGCCTGGGTCTATTACCACATGGGCAGATGGGAAGACACACAGAAGTACCTGGACAAGGTGCAGGAGATTTGCAACAGGTTTGAAGATTCTTCCCGCTATAGAGTGGAGTGTCCTGAGATGGACTGTGTGGAAGGATGGGCCTTGCTGAAGTGTGGAGGAAAGCACTATGAACGGGCCAAGGCCTGCTTTCAAAAGGCTCTGGAAGTGGACCCTGAAAACCCTGAATTCAACACTGGCTATGCAATTGTCACCTACCGCCTGGATTACGCAGCCAAAGGACTAAACAATATCAGCGAGGCCTTCTCCCTTCCTCCCCTCAGAAAGGCCATCAGCCTCAACCCACAAGATGGGTACCTGAAAGCTCTCCTTGCTCTGAAGCTGCAGGATGTGGGAGAGGAAGCAGAAGGACAAATGCACCTTGAAGAAGCTCTGACCCATGGGTCCTCACAGACCTATGTGTTCCGGTATGCAGCCAAGTTTTACCGCAGACAGGGTCGTCTAGATGAAGCTCTGAGGTATTTAAAAAAGGCCTTGAAGGCAACACCCAACTCTGCCTTGCTTCATCACCAGATGGGACTCTGCTACAGGGATCAAACGATCCAAATAAAGAAGTCTACCAACAGGCAGTTTCAAGGGCAGAGTAGAAGAGATGTGGACAGACTGGTTCAATTAGCCATATTTCATTTTGAGTATGCTGTGAAACTAAAGCCCTCATTTGAGATTGCTTATGTTGACCTGGCACGCACATATATACATGCAGGAGATCATGAAAAAGCTGAAGACACTTTCCAAAAAGTGCTAGGCATAATACCAGGGCAACAATACTCTTTGCAATATATGCATTTCTACTATGCTCAGTTTCTACAATTTCAAAAGAAATCTGAAGCAGAAGCAATTAACCATTATTTAAAAGCAATAAAAATAGAACAGAATTCCTTTATCAAGGATAAAAGTATCGATGTTGTGAAACAATTGGCCTTGAAGAAATTAGAGAGCAATGAATCAGATCCAGAAGGCTTGAGTCTCCTTGGGTTGGTCCACAAGCTGAAAGGAGACCTCAGTGAAGCCCTAGAGTGCTATGAGCAGGCATTGAGACTAAATCCTGAGAGGGAGAAGGTTGTAGGGTGTAGCCTCTAGATGATCAATTATCAGCCACTTTCCTATTGCATTTGATTTTAGGTTAAGATGTAGCCATTATCTCCTGCTTGCTGGTTTAGAAACATGCCATTCACATCAAGGTGCAATTTAGTTTGTAAAAATTACTTAAACTACCTCCTGTGACTTCTTCATAGACATTTCAATTTTGGTTTATACTCAACCGGGTTCTATACCCCTCAAAATGGCTATAGATTACTATTCAGCTGTCTCGTGTCTATTTTCATTTCAATATTTAGCAGTTTATAGTGTTGAAGCATGATTTGGCTGAACTTGGTTGTTTTTCAGATGGTAGGAACTAGCTCATAACTCTACCAAGATATATGTCATCGGTTTAGGTACAGAACATTTTTTTAAGAACCTGCATTTTCCCATTAACATATTGGTTAATCAATACCATGTCAATTAATGCCATAATGTTATACATTGTTGTTGATGTTATGTTGGGGCTTTTAATTGATTGGGATGATACTTTGCTGGCTTTACCTTCAGACCAGAGATGGTCTCACCAAGAAATCATTGAACTCACTAGGATAATAAGATGCTGAACTTTATGCTTGGTAAATACTTCCAATGAAAAAACCTCAACTGAATTTGAACTGTGGTAATGCAACAAGGTGGAGAAATCCACCATGGGGAGAGGGTTTGGGGAGGGGTGGGAGGAATCCCAGTGCCTATAACATTGTCCCATAATGCAATGCCATTAAAAAAAAAAAACTACTTAAACTGATCAAATGATTGCATTCCAAAACCGAGTGAAATGCAGGTCAGAGTTTGGTGCAGTGTTTCAAATGTTAGTTAAGACACTCATGTTTGCACCTTGAAGGGCACAGGTTTGAGTCCCAGGTACATCTTCTGATTCTAGTTTCAGATCACAGTGACCCTGGGAGGCAGCAATGATGACAGCAGGAGTTGGATTCATGTCAGCCACCTGGGAGACCTGGGTTTTGTGTCCTATTCCCAATGATGGATCTCACAACCATATGATATTTTGGCAGTAAAATAGCAGAAGTAAACCAGGGAAGATCGGCCGCCTCTCATTCAAATGAAAATAGAAAATATTGAAATAGAATACATGTGTGTGAATCAGAAACAATTTGTGTATGTTATTTAGTAGAAGCAAGAGGCTAATAGCTGACAAATAAAATTCCTGGCTTATGTACACCAAGATGTCTAAAGCATTGAATTTGTCAACAAGTGGTTTATAGTGATAGATAGCAAAAACCTTAGGGTAAGAAGGCAGACATTTCCCCTAAACGTCATGAAGTCTGTAATCTAGTGAGATGGGGAGGCCAGAGACAGCCCAGACCACATGAAAGCTATGCATGGGGACCAGTCTGGCAGGGCTAGGTACTAGTACCTGACTCAGTGCTGGAACACTGAACAGGTCACATTTGGCAGGTCAAGACACTAACCAGCAAACAAGAAATTCTGGTCCAGGAGGTAGATTCTGTGGGGATGTATGGGCCACACTCTGGAAATACAAGTCCCACAGGTTAGCTCACAAGCTGGGGTGGTAATGAGCTGAGCTAGGTGTGACCATGGAACTTACCATCACATACGTGTAAAGGAACCAACAACAGTCTTGGCAGGTCAAGGAAGCAGCACCCAAAAGTACATGCTAAAATAGGATGTGGGGTGGGCCAGACTGCACCTGGAAGGGAACGGACCTGGCAAGGCTTAGCAAACCTCAACTCACAAGGAAGAACAGAATTCAGGATGGAGCACAGGTCATGCTGAACTAGGCTCTTACACCAACTGGTCTGCATGAGCCAGGGATACTAGGCCACAGCATCAAAGGCAAAGGCTGAGACAGGTGAGGGACTAAGCCAACTGGGTCAGAGCAACCACTGGCAGGTGTGGAATATAGGGCTGGGAATAGGCTCAACTGGGTTGGGGTTCCCATGCAGAGTGAGCGGGACAGAGTGGGGGCTGCATTCTGGTATGAATATGGCTGCAATCTCCCTTGGCACAAGTGTGATCTGGGGCTGGGCACACAGAGTTGGGCTGGACGCCAGCACAATCAGGTGCTCTGGAGAACCTGGGTAGATATAGGACAGACTAGGCTAGGTCTCTGCCCCTACTGAGCCATGTGTGAGCAGTGTCTGGGTATGGATAAGCCTTGGCTGGGCTGAAACATCCAACAGGAATAACTGGAACTGATTGACAGCCAAAAAGGAGGGCTGGCCCATTGATCCACCAGTATGCACAAGATCTGGCATAGGGAGAGGTTCTGATGGAGAAACTTGGGAAACTCCTCTGTCAGGACACAGTTCCTACAGGTGAGCACAAGAACCATGATAGGGAGCAACCCAGACCAGGCCAGAGAAACATACCCAAGAACATACATTTGGCATGGGGGGGGGCAGCCAGGCTGAACCAGATCACATCACCCGCTGGCAAATATGAACACCAGAATAGAGTGTGTGTTGGGCTAGGATCGACCACGTCCTAAGCCAGTGCACATTATGGAATGCCAAGTTGAGCTGAGTCATACCAAATGTGGCAGCAGCACCCAAACAGCACATGCAAGAACCAGAGAGGGACCAGGCAAATCCGTCAGAGGGAATGTGGGCTCCAGTAAAGCCAGCATCCAGTGATTTGGGGGTCAGCTGATGTCTCCCTAGTTTCCCAGTTTGGGCAGTGCTCAAACTGGGACTGGAAGAAAGGCAGTGCAGGAATGGTGTGGCCACAGCACAGGATCACAGAGTATGGAAAGTGGTGAGTCAGGAGCTGCGGCTATGGAGACCACAGTGGAAGCCTAGTATAAGAAACCAGGACTAAAAGAATGCAGGGACAAGTGAGCTGAGCATGCGCTCAACCGGTGAGTGAACTCTCAGAGCTCAGTGCATTGAATTGATCCCACAGTAAAATAATACCGACTATGGCAGCATATGGATAAAAATAGGCTTGTGTGGTCCCTAGACCTAACTGCCAACAGGTTCCAGCAAGATCAGCACCATCAAAAACCTAGCTGTATAGGACATCTGGTGTCTCTCTAATCTTGGGAACTGCCTGAACCAGAAATGGGAGAAAGGTACAGACTCAGGATGGTATCATACCAGGTGCAGAGTGGTGAGCCAGGTCCTGGGGTTACGCAGACCATGGTGCAAGTCTAACATAAGAAACCAGAACTGGTACTAGCTGGAGAGAGTGGGACAAGTGACTGCAAATCAAGAACCATGTAGCAACTGCAATAAGGAAATAAAACTGTAGACCTGTGGGTGGCACAGCTTAGAAACCTGCCCCAAGGAGAAGACTCTCCTAACCAGAAGTATAATGACCAAGACCAAAAGAAGAGACAGAGAGCAATGAATAGTACTGATGCTTCTCGCACAAATGAGCAAAGACTATTGCCAACTTCAGAGTTAACTGAGGAAGACATCAAGGAAATGGGAGATAAGGAATTGGGAAAAAAAAAACTTGCTATAGGAATATGTCGCACAGGAAATGAAAACACTGAAACCAAACTAAGGCAAAATATTAGAAAGGAAAAACACAATGGAGCAAATTAATAATTCCGTGAGAAGTCTCAGTAATAGAATGAGGGAGGCAGAAGAAAGAATCTCAGAATTGAAATACATTTAGTTCAATGATGGGTGGAAATTCAAAAAGCTGGAAGTGCAACTGAAAAGGACGAACATAACAGTTATAGGAGTTCCAGAAGGCATAGAAAAGGAAGCTGGGATTTAAAATTTATTAGATGAGGGCCCAGCACAGTAGTATAGCTGTTGAAGTCCTCGCCTTGAACGTGCCAGGATACCATGTGGACACTGGTTCTACTCCTGTGGCCCTACTTTTCATTCAGCTCCCTGCCTGTGGCCTGGGAAAGCAGTCGAGGTCGGCCCAAAGCCTTGGGACCCTGCACCCGCATGGGAGACCCAGAAGAAGCTCCTAGCTCCTGGCTTCAGATTGGCTCAGCTCCAGCCATTGTGGCCACTTGGGGAGTGAACCAGCGGATGGAAGACCTTCCTCTCTGTATCTCCTCCTCGCTGTATATCTGACTTTCTAAAATACAAAAAAAAAAAAAAACTCCACTCCAATCAGTGGGTGTGCCCTATCCTTAAAGAAAATGGTACTCAATGAAATAACAAAGGAAAACTTCCCTAATTTGGAGAAAGAATTGGAAAACAAAGTACAGGAAGAGGCCAGAACTTCCAATAGGGCTGGCGAAATAGATCTTGGCCACAACACATGATAATAAGGTGCTCTACATTAAACACAGGGAAAAGATACATAAATATGTGCATGAAAAAATCAGTTAACACATAGAATGACCCTAATCAGATTTACTTCTGACCTCTTAGAGGAAACTCTACAGGCCAGAAGAGAATGGAGTCACATTTTCCAGATTCTAAGAGAAAAAAAAAATGTCAGCCCAGAATAACTTACCCAGCAAGTCTTTCTTTTTCTTTGAAAAGGAAAGAAAACTATCCAGAGTAAACAAAAGCTCCACAAATTTACCTCTTCCAGACCTGCCCACAAATGATTAAGATGTTCTATCAACAGAGGAAAGGTAGAGCACCTACCAAAACCAAGGGCAAACCTGAAGACCATCCCAATAAAGCAACAAAGGAAGACTAAATCAAATAAGAAACAATCCATTGCTAAAAGGACAGGAAAAAATTACTACCTCTTGATACTAACCCTGAATGTAAATGGTTTAAACTCATCAATCAAGTGTCATAGGGTAGCGGGTGGGATATAAACACAAAACCCATCTATCCGTTGCCTGCAAGAGAACATCTCACCAACGAAGATACATGGAAGCTGAAAGTGAAAGAAAGAAAAGATATTCCAGATAAATGGAAAAGAAAGATAAGCTGGAGAAGCCATTTTTTTTTATCAGTAATATAAACATTGTAGTGAAAAACACTAAATGCAACGAAAGCTGACAGCAAAGAGCAATCAATAAATCCATTCAGAAAGAAAAGATCACCTTGAGAGTTTCCTAGGATATTTTGTTTTTCATCTGTAATTTTACTTGATTTTTCTCTTGCTTTTCTTTACTAGTCTGGCTAAAAGTTTGTTTTGCTCATCTTCTTAAAAATGGCTCTT